GGTACTGGTTACAAATCTAACTGGCTTGGTAATGGTTACAGATCTAACTGGCCTGGTACTAATTACAGATCTAACTGGCTTGGTACTGGTACAGATCACAGATCTAACTGGTCTGGTACTGGTTACAGATCTAAGTGGCCTGGTACTGGTTACAGATATAACTGGCTTGGTACTGGTTACAGATCTAACTGGCTTGGTACTGGTTACAAATCTAACTGGCTTGATACTGGTTACAGATCTAACTGGCCTGGTACTGGTTACAGATCTAACTGGCCTGGTACTGGTTACAGATCTCACTGGCTTGGTTCTGGTTACAGATCTAACTGGCCTGGTACTGGTTACATATCTAACTGGCCTGGTACTGGTTACATATCTAACTGGCCTGGTACTTGTTACAGATCTACCTGGCCTGGTACTGGTTACAGATCTAACTGGCCTGGTACTGGTTTCAGATCTAACTGGCCTGGTACTGGTTACAGATCTTAGTGGGCTGGTACTTGTTACATATCTAACTGTCCTGGTACTGGTTACAGATCTACCTGGCTTGGTACTGGTTACAGATCTAACTGGCCTGGTACTGGTTTCAGATCTAATTGGCCTGGAACTGGTTACAGATCTAACTGGCCTGGTACTGGTTTCAGATCTAACTGGCCTGGTACTTGTTACAGATCTAACTGGCCTGGTACTGGTTACAGATCTAATTGGCCTGGTACTGGTTACAAAATCTAACTGGCTTGATACTGGTTACAGATCTAACTGGCCTGGTACTGGTTACAGATCTTAGTGGGCTGGTACTTGTTACATATCTAACTGGCCTGGTACTGGTTACAGATCTACCTGGCTTGGTACTGGTTACAGATCTAACTGGCTTGGTACTGGTTACAGATCTAATTGGCCTGGTACTGGTTACAAAATCTAACTGGCTTGATACTGGTTACAGATCTAACTGGCCTGGTACTGGTTTCAGATTTAACTGGCTTGATACTGGTTACAGACCTAACTGGCCTGGTACTGGTTACAGATCTAACTGGCTTGGTACTGGTTACAGATCTAACTGGCCTGGTACTGGTTTCAGATTTAACTGGCTTGATACTGGTTACAGACCTAACTGGCCTGGTACTGGTTAGTTACAGATCTGACTGGTCTGGTACTGGTTACAGATCTAACTGGCCTGGTTCTAGTTACAGATCTAACTGGTCTGGTACTGGTTACAGATCTAATTGGCTTTGTAATGGTTACAGATCTAACTGGCCTGGTACTGGNATCTAACTGGCCTGGTAATGGTTACAGATCTAACTGGCCTGGTAATGGTTACAGATCTAACTGGCCTGGTATTGGTTACAGATCTGACTGGCTTGGTAATGGTTACAGATCTAACTGGCCTGGTAGTGGTTACAGATCTGACTGGTCTGGTACTGGTTACATATCTAACTGGCCAGGTATTGGTTACAGATCTGACTGGTCTGGTACTGGTTACAGATCTAACTGGCCTGGTACTAGTTACAGATCTAACTGGTCTGGTACTGGTTACAGGTCTAATTGGCTTGGTAATGGTTACAGATCTTAACTGGTCTGGTAC